TGCTCTTAAAGGACCCTCGTCCCCTCATGGGTGTCTGGACCACCTCCTCATGAACAGTTATCAGTGAATAGGCATTCATCAGGAGCATGAGACTCCATTATCTGGGTTTGTTTGTTAATAAAAAGATTAGCAAACAGGCTTTGCCTTCTGGGACTTTATCCGTATTTGGTTTGGAGGGAAAAGGAAAAAAGAAGAAAATGAAACACTGCAGCTGCTGGTGGAGAAAAGCGCTGGCACCCCCAAGACTGGGGGCAGCTCATGGGGGGAAGAGATCTTTATCCGAAGGAGCAGGAAGCACTTCCTGGATGGTACTTGTGAGTAGGTGAGTTTCAGCTGTGATGAGGGTGAAGAGGGCAGACGGGAAGCAGGTGGAGAGAGCTTGCCGCACCTGCAGAGAAGAGCCCCCAGTGTGGGCTGGGGAAGGAGGAGGAGGCGGGGTAGCCTGGTTAGATTGAGGAGACGAGTAGACAGTTGACATTGTGATGGTGGAGGGCAGTGGTCTTCACACTTAACTACTGGATATCTTCTAAAATAATTTAGAAAACTCATATTTTTTAAGTTTAAAGGTATTTTCAAAATGAAACTGTCATATCACTGTTAAAAATGGAATCTAAATAATATAGCACTTATATACACTATCAGCCATTTTCAAAAATCCAAGAATAAACTCTTTAAATTGACGATTTTCCATTGTTATTTGATCTATTTCCCTAACAAAATTTTATCTTAATATATATTTATGCTTGAAAGTTTTATTGATTACCCTGTCACATTTTTTTGGCACCAAAGATATAAGGAAAAATTGAAACTTTTAACTTCCTGTGGGCATAAAAATCTTTAAAACTTTGTTTTTGTTGTTATTATTAATACTCAGTTGATCCACCAGAATGTATTACAAATTATAATAAACACTTGATGAACAAAATTTTATTGAATAAGCATCTCAGTAAGGTGGAGCTTTTAAAAAATAACCTGTATTCATGGGTGAATGTAATTTATTGCTCGAATGAGACTGTATTTAGCATAACTTTTACTTTTTATTTTCAGAGCTATAAGCACAGAGAAATTTTGTTGATGTAGATAAGTGGATGGAAAGAGTTTTACTAGTAGTGCCACTAATTTTCTTGAATTTCTTCCAACTTATATGTCAAAAATATGAAAATTATTTTTAATGAGCTATCAGTCATTCAGTTATTTTTAAAGTAAAGGATTGTGGAACGAGTACCTGACTTGTGAAAGTAGGCATTACAGCCTTCAGAGAGCTGGTATTGTAACGCCTTCGTCCGTGTGTCAGAGCGTCCCTATGCTGTGGAGTGGAGGGATTTTGCTTGGGAGCCATGCAGTCTTGAGCTCAGGGAGGTGGGAGATTGTGGATGGGAACACCATGGGTCCACACCCTCAGTGCGTATCTATGATGGAGCATTCCTGGAAACAGGTCTGGAATGGTCCTTAAAGTTCCCCGCTTGACTTACTGCTCAGGAGAGCTTCCGTGTCTGTGTGCTCAGGTGTTTCAGTCATGTCCTGCTCTCTGTGACCACACGGACTGTAGCCCGCCAGGCTTCTCTGTCCTGGGATTCTCCAAGCAAGAATACTGGAGCGGGTTGCCATTCCCTTCTCCAGGGAATCTTCCCAACCCAGGGATCGAACGCGTGTCTCTTAAGTCTGCTGAATTGGCAGGCAGGTTCTTTACCACTACTGCCACCTGGGAAGCCCTCTCACGCCTTACAGGGTTCAGATACCTAAGCAGACGGTATCAGAGCCTCTGGGTTAGGGTATTGGAAACTGAGAGGTATGGGAATAGAGAAGACTTTTTAGAAGTCAAATTCATAGTTCTTAGCGACCAATTAGATAATGGGGGCAAGAAAAGTGCTTTGTAAAGTACCTGCAGGCCTCATGCCTGAGAACTCAGGTTACTGGGGAAGTGACGGTCATTAGAGAGTCTGGAGGAGCAGCTGATTTTTTATAAGACTAATTTGGACAGTTAGGTTTTCAGAAAACACATGACATGGAAGCGGAGACCCTGAGGGGCCTGCAGCCCTGGACGTGGGGACCAGAGCATGAGAACGTTGGGGCCCTCTGCATCGCGAGTGCGGTGAAGCTGCAGGTTATCCAGGGGAGGAGAGGCGTGTGTGTGAATAGCGTCCATATGACAGAGTCGAGGGAGAGAAACCACCTACGCAACAGGTTGTAAAAGAAGCAAGCAAGGACGGTCTAGAAAGGTGGGAAACACTCAAGATGGAGTACATACTCCCAGAGAATCCAAGAACTAGAGAGGAAGCCGTCTGGATGAGGGATGTTGAGTCCTGCCCCCAGGCCGCAGGTGGGAGGCCTCGCACCAAGGCCACAGAATCGGAGCCCAGAAGCAAGGTCACCTTCAAGCTGGCTGAGCCCCTTTGTAACTGTTGCCAAAAGCCCCTGATGATCCCCAGCAAGCTTCCTGACTCCCAGCTAGGCAAAGATGCCCACTCCAGTGAACAGCCCATGGTGCCCCAACCAATCATCTAACGCCAACCTTCCAGCAGGGATTTTCTTTGTCTTTAGGCTCTGGTGCTCTCAGAATACCCTGCACTTGGGAGAGACATGACGAGCTCTGCTTCTTTCGTAATGAAAAAGATAGTTTTAATTAACAATTGATCATTTAAAATCACATTTAAACCACTTATTCATATAGTTGAATAAGTATGTCCACTGCTCAAAGGAGGTAATGGTTGAATTTAACTGTGCTGTTGCCTAGAAAGTCTCAAAGTCGGGTTTTCCAGCCAGTCAGGAAGATTTTGCAAAAGGTAATAATGTAACCCTTTGAAATGCAGAAGGCCAGGACAGTCTGGGCCCTCCTCTTCCTCCCAGCTCACGTCTGTGTGAGCCCTGTGCCCTGAAGCCCTCCTCTGTCTTGTGCGACTTGGTTTTCCTTGACTCCCTGTCCCCAGGCTTCTCAGCTCAGCACATTCTCCCACCCTCTGTCCATTGGGGCACCCCGTGTCCCCCCAGGACTGTCTGGACTGTGAGGCCTTCTCTTGCTCTCTGGGCACACCTAGCAGTATAAGGTGAAGAACACGTTGTGTGTGTACTCTTAGTAGCATGTTTTTGTCTGTGCATGCCCATATATACACCTGTGTGCATAGACACTTGTGTGTGTACACGCTGTCTAGGTTTTGTGTCTCTGTTCTCTGTTGAGTGCCTGACACTCACAGTAAACAGGAGACAGCGTCCTGCTTACTGGTTGAATGAGAGGGGTGAAGACATTTAAAACTCAGGGAAACCATGCTGAGGTTGTCTCAGAAACACGTGAATTGTAGGTTTGAGGGAATATTGATGTCCTAGCTTGATACTGTGTTAGATGTGTGATAGATGTTATCTTTGTGTGTCTGAAAATCTTGACAACACACACGTGTTTGTGTGAGGAAACACAGCCAAGTTAATGAATGACCTGCACAAGCTCACATGCAGAGTTCACGAGGAGCAGGACCTGAGATTTGGACTCAGACTGTCTTAACTTTAAAGGGCTTTTGTCCTTGTCACATTACTGTCACCGTAAACATGTAGGGACTGATCATCTTTAACATTTCAAATGGGTCCAGCTTTTAAATTTTTACGTTTTGAGACATCGTTTTCCTTGAATTTGAAACAGCTGGAAGTTGGGGTGTTGGTTCCTGTGGTTCTGGGCTTCTGCTGGTGCCCGAGCTGGGCCAGAGCAGGCGGAGCCTTCCTGACCCACAGGCGTGTGGACGGCCACGTCTGCTGTGGGCCCCGTAGTTTCACACACGGGGAGGGGTTCACTTATACGTAACAAGATGAACGCCCTTGTCTTAGTGCTTCTCTCTCTTGTCCCCGTTTTCTGGATGTTCTCTTTATTTACACTGTAACGTTCGATTCTGGTCTGATTTGAACTAGAAGGATCTGTTGACTCTGACTTGAGACAAGATGCACTAACCCTTAAGGATAGGTTTCTTTTCCTGCAAGGAATTCTGTTAGAATTCACTAAGAAACATGAGTTTTGGTTGACACTTGTATCGTGTAGCTTCTTCATGGAAGCTTTTGTTTTATAATTAAATATTAAATTTTGAGAAGTGAAGGTTTGCTGCACAAGTGTAGGAGTTCTGTCTCGTGTTGATCATTCAGGGCATCTTCATTTTTGCTTTCCACGTTGATCCCCTTTCAGCTACCCAGGATGGGTTTACAGGGAAGAGGAGCCTTGGGATTTGGGGAGTATAGATACAATTTGAAAAAACATTTCAGAGTGATCATTGTTTTCATTGCTTTTCAGTCATTTTGAAATTTCAAATGACATTAAAAGCCAACATGATTTCTTCACTTCATCAGTGGAGGAAGTTGGATGTTTAAAGCAGTGAGCACTGTAAGGGGCTATTACTGTGTAATGTCCAAGAATCCAGAATCAAGTAAGTGATCCAGAAAGGAGGGGCAGCCTTGGAGCACACAGGTCAGGTGATGAAAGGCCCTTCTCCTCTCCTGAGATGCTCTTTGTCTGTTTTGCCTGATGATAAAATAGCCACTCTGCCTTTCTCGTGCTGTGTCATGTTTTATGTCTTTTTTTCTTAATCCTTTTCTTTTCAACCCATGGGTTGAAATTTGGACTTTAAAAATACATTTCCGATAGACTCTAGTTGAGGAACACCTGTAGTTGTTCCCTTGTTACTAGTTTGTGATTCTCTACCTTTTGACTTATAATGTTTAGTCAGTTTATAAGTAATGTAATTATTGATCTGATTGTGTATTTCTCTTCATCTCTTTTTTTCTCTGTTGCTCCTTTTGTGAGTTTCTTTGGGGTTATTAACTGAGTATTTTTTAGCATTCTATTTTAATTCCCAGTTGGCTTTTTGGCCATCCTTTCTTGCATGTTTCACATTGGAATTGAAAGTATTAGTCGTGCCGTTATGTCTGACTATTTGCAACCCCATGGACTGTAACCCACTAAGTTCCTGTGTCCCTGGAATTCTTCAGGCAAGAATATGGGAGTGGGTAGCCATTCCTTTCTCCAGGGGATCTTCCTGACCTAGGGATCGAACCCAGGTTTCTTGCATTGAAGGCACTCTTTACTGTCTGAGCCAGGGCTCCTAAGGATTATAATTTGCATCTTTAATCCACCATTATCTACTTAAAATTAATGTACTGCTTTGCATAAGCTATACACAGTCCTTGTAGCAGTATAACTTCATTCACGCTCTGCGTTCTGTCTTTTTTATCTGAGGATGTTATTGACTGTACCATCATTTATGCTGTAGGATTTTTGTTTTTTAGTGGTGAAAGCTTTATTGATTATTTGTGTGTTTCTCCTACTCATCACCTGTGGCAGGCATTTGCAGGATGGCTAGGTAAAGACTTAAGTATGCAGTCTGTAGCCACAGTAATTAGATCCTTGCTGCCTCCATAAAGAGGAGATCCAGAGCCACTTAGTCCAGTCAGGAGTTGATGAGGAAGCCCTGACCCTGGAGAGGATGTACATGCAGGGGGCGTCCAGCAGTGCTGACAGGAGGCTGCAGCGCTGGGGAGCGTACGTCTGCCCCAGCACCCTGCTGGGGCACAGCACTCCCTTCCACGTAGAGATGATCCTCAACCACGATGTGAAGATAGACAGAAACACAAGTGGAGACAGAATATGGTTTGTTACCCTCTCAGCGTTTCTCAAATATAGCTGTTCAACAATCTGTGTTTAAGCCTGTTGGGGGTATTTATTAAGAATGATTGCTCCTGGGCCTCACTCCACACCTGCATGATCAGGGTCTGAATATGAGATGTGGGGGGGTCTGCCTTTTAGGGTGAGTGCTCCAGGCTTGTCCTAAACACAGCCATGCGTGACTGTCACTGTTTTGGCACTCTTCCCAACAGCCCCTGCCTTTTTAGGGACCAGAACCCACATTGTTCATGTTTATCTTTAAAATTGACAAGTGTGCAACTGATGAAACAATTTGGTCATAGTCATAGAATTCTAGAGCCTGCATAAAGGCACCTTCCAGGTCATGACAGCCAACAATCCTAGAGGAGGAAACAGGCCAAATGATAGTGTCTGGGTGGTTTGACAACTGATTCATAACGCAGGAGGTACTTTGCTGTAACTTGTAGATCAGGATAACCTGGTAAAATCTTTCTGTATGTAAGAAATTATTTTCATGTTTGGTATTATTTTTAGTCCAGCTTGACAGTCTCTGCCCTATAATTGGGGGTGTTTAGAGTGTGTGCACTCACTGTGATTACTGATATGGTTTGATTTTCCTCTCATATTGCTATTTCCTGTTTGTCCCATGTATTTTTTTCTTCCTTTCATCCTTTTTTTCTGCCTTCTTTTGGTCTGAGTATTTTCTATGATTCCATTTAATGGCCTTTATTGGCTTGCTTACTGTATGTTTCAGGTGGGTATTTTTGGTGTTAATAGCTGCCGAAAAGTTTATAATTAGTGTGATCCTGTGACTCATTACCGTCAGTCTTCATGTATATGTATACAATATATCTCACTCCTTTTCTGCCTGTGAGCTGTTGTAATCTTACGTTTTGGACTTCCCAGGTGGCTCAGTGGTAAAGAATCTGCCTGCCAGTGCTGCAGATGCAGGAGACATGGATTCAGCCCCTGGGTCGGGATGGAGGAGGAAATGGCAACCCACTCCAGTATTCTTGCCTGGAAAATTCTGTGGACAGAGGAACCTGGTGGGCTACAGTCCATGGGGTCACAAAAGAGTTGGACACAACCTAGCAACTGAGTACGCACAGTCATATTTTACTTCTACACGTATTATAAACTTCACAGTGTATTTTTTCTCTATTTTATAGTGCATAGTTTTGCCTTAAACAATTATCTTTAAAGAGTGTTTTTTTTTTCCAATAAGAAGAGGCATTTGTGTTTGCCCACATATTCACTGTTTCTGATCGTCTTCATTCCTTTGTGTAGGTTCAGATTTCCATCTGGTGTAATTTTCTTTTTGCTTGAAGGGCTTCCAGTATTTCTTGAAAGTTTGCTGCTAGTGATGTCTGTCAGCTTTTGTATGTCAGAAAAAGTTTATTTCACCTTTATGTTCAAGAGACATGAATTTCAAAGATATCTGAGCGATTTCTGTTTACTCAGTCTAGAGGTGTAGGTTGGCTTCTTCTCTTTCAATCCCTTGAAGACGCTGCTCTCCTGTCTCTGGCTTGTGTTCTTCCTGATGAGAAGGCTGCTGTAATTCTCGTCTTTCTTCTCTCTATGCAGTGTGAGTTCCCTGACTGCCTGGCAGGATTAACTCTGTCGGGGTCTGACGCTTCACTTACTTACACGTCGTCAGTGTCCTGGTTGAACGTGTGGGTTCTCAGGTCTGTGGGATCACTCTTTTCTGGTCACTGTGTTCGTCGGTCACACGCCTGAGCATCTGTGGCCTCTGACCCCCGTGCGTCTCGGGGTAGGCAGCACGCACCCATCAAAGGAGGAGAGGAAGCCCCTTGTCATCCGTGGCCTCCGACCCGGCTTCTCCTGTGACTCTCTGTCCTCTAGACGCAGCGAAGGGCGGGTTGACCTGTGCTGCCTGGGAGGCCCGGGCACCTCTCCATGCGCAGTGTATGAGGAGTGTTCTCATGTCTCTGATAGTTGGTGTGGATGACTGCAGCTCAGAGTCTGATGTGATTGTTGTACCTTCAGCCCTGGACTTTGTCTCACAAGATGACATGCTGACGCCGCTGGGGAGACTGGACAAGTATGCTGCGAGTGAGAACGTATTTAACAGGTATGTGCCTGTGCTGTCCACTGGGGGAGGCGGGAGGGTGTCTTTTATTGCGCGAATTTCAGTTAACAGAAGTACCCAGTTTAAAGCAGGTGCCCGCGGCAGTGAGAGTCACCCAGCTTCACTGCTGGTCACAGCTGTGGCTGCCTTTACACTCGTCACTCCTCCATCCTGTAAGAGAATGCACTCTTTCTTGGCTTTTTGGCAAAAAGCAACCAAAAAACCCCACTACTTTCTTGCTATTGAGCATCGTTTTGACAGTCATGTGAAGTGGCTACTGAGGAATCTGCTATTGCTCCAGCAGGGGGCGGTGTGTCCAGGACCAGGTGACTGGCCGTCAGGGGCACGGGACACGGGACACGGCAGTGACCAGTGCTCACTCGCCCCAGTTGCACTGTTTCTCCACCTGCAGCCCCCAGATCACCTGGATCAGACTTCGCTGGGAAATCGAAGTCTTTCTAGCATCTTCTGAGTATAGATGTATGAAACTCGTTTAATCAAATATGTAAAGATAACATTTTATATAATGAAAAGTAATTATATTTTCCCCCTGTTTATGATAATTGAAGGTATTAATAGCTACTTAAGACAAATTTTCAGTGACCTTAGAAATTTGTCAGATAATAGTGAAACATTCTGGTAAATGGTCACTCTCATCTTAACTAAAATAAAATTCATACCAGCATTTGTCACTTAGAAAATTGTCACTTATAAAATGTGTTGAGAAAAACTTTTTAAATCCATATGGATTCTGACTTTTAAAGTCCTGAATACTAACTGTTGGGTGCCACTGACCATGGTATAATCTTCTTCTGTGCAGACAGATGGTGGCCCGGAGTCTGCTGGACACGCTGAGGGAAGTGTGCGATGATGAGAGAGAGTGCATTGCTGTTCTGGAAAGAATCAGCAGATTAGCTGATGATTCAGGTGTGTGTTTATGCAGAGGAAGGTTTCTTTTATCAAATTTAAGTTTCTAAAAACTAATGAAAAACTTAAGTGTAACATGAGGTTTCTTGGAAGTATTTCCTAAGTAATTTGTCTAACCCATGAGTAAAAAAATAAAAAACCTGTTACAAAGATCCAGACATTTTATATACCAGGCCCATTTAGTTTGACTGGAAATTTTTCAGAAGAAGAATCTAAGAACATTGTTTTGCATCATGTACATTCGTAATAACTATTACTGTAATAAAAACTTTATACTTTCTTGAATAAGTAAAAAGGGATGGAGTGAGCTGTAAAACTTTTTTGACAAAAAATGCATTCTTACTTAAAAAATGTTGATCACTCGTAAAACTAAAGCTGTCTGTCTCTAAAGTGCAGATAGGAGGAGAGTCTGCTTAAGAAAGAGATAAACTTGTTTTGAGACTTAGAACACAATTTATTACGTTTTGAAAAAATACTTTTCACTGAGGCAAAACATACATAAAATTTACCATTTTAACCTAATATTGCTCTGAGCATATTTCTATATTTGATTTTTGAAACAATTCAGAAATAAAATTTTTTCTTAAATCCATGATCTCTTTATTGAAATGTGTTATTTTTCCATTTCTGTCGAACTTTCTGGCATGTCAGCATTCTCATCCTTTAATTTTAAATGAGATCATTTTTTGGTGAGCATCTCTTTTTTTTGGAAATATGTTTACTATTCACATCAGCCTTAGATAGTTTTATTTTCCTATAGAAAAAAAAAAGTAAGCTCACTAATATTCTATTACTATCTCATATGATGTTCTGTGTAATTGCTTATGTATATGCTTGTTCCAAAGTGGTTTTAGGAGAGTGTCATCAACTATTATTTTTACTTAAGTTTATTTTTGATTTGGCAAAGATAACTTAACTTAAAATTTTGGCGCTGTTGCATTCCATTGTATTTATTCCTTTCTTAGTAGAGACCTGGATATTTTTTAAGGCAGAATTTGTTTTTCTTCTGCCTGTTTACCAACTGCACTGCTATTTTTTAACACGTGAAAGTGAAAATGTTAGTTGCTCAGTCGTATCCGACCGTTTGCAACCCCAAGGGCTGGAGCCCAGCAGGCTCCTCTGTTCATGGGATTTCACAAGCAAGAATACTGGAGTGGACAGCCATTCCCTTCTCTTGTATGTATTCTAAAATGTATCTCAAATTGTTGAGTTCCTGATAAACACCTCTGTTGACATTTATACTTTGGATACGTGTAAACAGTACATACTCTATGCCAGGTTCTAGATTGAACGTTAGAGCCATTACCAAGATGAATAACAATTCCTGTCATCAAATTAACAATTGAGTGAATGCAGCCGACATAGTAACAATAAGCCATAACAGGGAGGACTGGGGCTGGCTTCAGACAGCTGGTGGCATCTGAGCTGGGTTTGACGACACAGAGTGAGAGGAAAGGAGAGGTGCAGGGGTCTGGGGAGCTTAGGACACTGGCCCGTCTCATCAACAGTGGGTTTACTAGTCCTGCAGTTTAGAAAAACTAGGCTTAAGCGAGGGGCCTGAGGGGGCTAGATTGTAAAGATTTATACTGTGCTGGGCCTGAGAGTTCACATGCTTGTAATTTGAAACAGCAATGCAAAGAGCGTTGACTTGAGAAGCCGGGTTGGCAGGAAGGCCTGCTGGGCAGCTCCTCTGACTATTAGGAGTCGTCTGGGAGCAGGGTCAGGGCCGGAGGGCTGTTAGAGCCATGTGATCGCAGCCTCCTTGAGTTTGAGGGTTCTAGTCTCTGTCAGATGTCAGGAAGCTTTGGTCTTAATATTTGTAATGTTAGGCTTCCTCCACCTCAGACTCCTGTTTTTTTTTTAAGTTTTCTTTTGTCTAATTAGATGTTTTGTTGTTGTTGTTGTTCAGTTGCTCGGTTGTGTCTGGCTCTTTGTGACCCCGTGGACTGCAGCAGGCCAGGCCTCCCTGCCCATCGCCATCTCCCAGAGTTTGCTCAAACTCATGTCCATTGAGTCGGTGACGCCATCCAGCCATCTCATCCTCTGTCGTCCCCTTCTCCTGCCCTCAATCTTTCCCAGCATCAGGGTCTTTTCTAATGACTCAGTTCTTTGCATCAGGTGGCCAAAGTATTGAAGCTTCAGCATCAGTCCTTCCAATGAATATTCAGGACTGATTTCCTTCAGGATGGACTGGTTGGATCTCCTTGCAGTCCAAGGGACTCTCAAGAGTCTTCTCCAGCACCACAGTTCAGAAGCATCAATTCTTGGGCACACAGCTTTCCTTATAGTCTAGCTCTCACATCCATACATGACCACTGGAAAAACCATAGCCTTGACTATATGAACCTTTGTCATTAAAATGTTTTATACATTTTATACATGGTTCAAAATACAGAACTCCAGTTAGATACATCTGTTGTCTATAGTGAAGTCTCTGTAAAGTGAATTTAGCTGGTCTACTTCGGGGGGTTTATTTGCCTTGAAGGGCTTCCCACCTCAAGGTTCAACTTTTTTTTTTTTACCTTGCCCAACAGCTTACAGGATCTTAGTTCCCCAATCAGGGATTGAACCCGTGCCCTCCTGCAGTGGAAGTGTGTAGCCCTAACCACTGGACAACCAGGAAAATCCCTTAAAATGTTGTCCTTTAGTGCTTTTGATCTTTTAAAAAAAAATTGGATCTCTGATTCACCTAGAATTTATGTATAGAGAGCAGTGTAGGAATCTCACCTTTTTGCCTCATATAACCAGCTTGCTTTCTTACCATTACTCAGGGGACAGTTGGTCTTTTTGAAATGCTGTCACATTTAGATTTGCCATATGAACTTGGGTCTTTTCAGATTTTTTGTTGTTGTTGTTATTTTCAATCTGTCAGTCTCCTTTAGCATTTGTTGACCCTCTATCATCATAGTTAAGTCTGACTGTAAACCCTGCACTCACTAGCTGCATTCAGATTAGGAGCCAGGCCTTATAGCCTGTCCTGGAGGTTCTGAGAGAGCAGTTTGTGGGTGATGCCATCTACAGTTGACCTGAATTCAGGTGGACAGGTCCAGTCCTCACAGGAGTGACCACAGGCTCCAGGCAGGCTCTGAAGACAGAAGCCGGGAGGGGGTGACCTTGTGTGACTGTGACGAGCATCGTGGAGCAGAGTGCGTTCCCTGAGCACTCACGATGCCGTGAGGAGAGTCGGGGGCTCTCCTTGGGGCTCTCCTGACTGCCCACCTGGCAAGAACCCTACGCGGGGAAGACGCATCCACTCACCTTCCTGTTGTTTTCACAGAACCGACCGTGAGGGCAGAGCTGATGGAGCAGGTGCCTCACATTGCCTTGTTCTGCCAAGAAAACCGGCCAGCAATCCCATACGCCTTTTCAAAGTATTTGCTGCCCATTGTGGTTCGATATCTCGCAGATCAGAATAACCAGGTAGGAAGAGCCTGTCCACATTCCTGCAGAAATGTGGGCTGTCTGGTGGTCTCCTTAGGATGTTCCTTCCACTTAGACCTGGTTATTCAGTTTCTCAGAATGACAAAATGACATCTCAGAGAAGATGGGGCGGAGTCTAGGAGATCGCCTTAGTGCTGCAACAGACAGCGCCAACGGCTACTGCTCCCCTGCCAGCCTTCCAGGCGGCCCCCAGAAGTTTGTCACTGGGAGACCTCTTTTCCAGGAATGGCTTTTCTGTTCCCCTTGACCTGTTATGACACAGTCTGCCGAGTTCTGTCTTTGCAGAGCAGCCAGCAGTTTTTATCTGCAAGGTTGTGCCGGTTGGGAACCTTTGGTTGGATGAGGAGTCTGCAGATTTGTGAACTTCATGCCCTAGGGTTTTGTCGTACTGTGCACATGCCTTGTTTATGTGTTTGTTTTTTCCCAGGTAAGAAAAACGAGCCAGGCAGCTTTGCTGGCCCTGCTGGAGCAGGAGCTGATCGAGCGCTTCGATGTGGAGACCAAGGTGTGCCCCGTCCTCGTGGAGCTAACAGCCCCCGACAGCAACGACGACGTGAAGACGGAGGCCGTGGCCGTAAGCGGAGCTCACTTTTTCAGTTCAGGGGGATGAGCTAGTGTGTGACCGTAGGAGGTGACTTAGACACGACGCCATGTTACATGGGGTAGGGTGGGTACGTGCTGGGTATCAGAGTAGCCACGGGTCATGGAATGTGAAACATAATGCTGGGCTTGGAGCAGACACAGGCTTCCAAGGGCACAGGTGTCTTTCCGGGGGTGGGGGGAGGGTGGGGGGGGCTTGTGCCATGTGGAGCTCCTGGGATGACGGTCCTTGCTGGGCTCGGAGAGGCTAGGATGCATGGCAAGAAAATATCGAATCAGCTGTGAATTCATCTCATCAAGAGGAAAAAGTAAGATGGCAAAGATAGCTAGGATCCTTTTAAGAAACCTGTATTGAATGAAGATGCATTTGAGCTCCTTGAGTTGTTGTTGCGCGCTTTTCTAGGCACTGTGAGAGCGCAGTAAGAAAAAAGAGGGATGCTGCCTGTTGCTCCCGTCCTTGATGGCATGGTCTTTGCAGGGAGGAATATATGATATGTTACGATTACTAGAAAAACACACAGATTAAGTCGTCTTGCACATAATAAAGTGAAATATGGTGAGTTTTCTGGTTTTTGGACATGGTTAGCAAATAGTTTGATTACTTGAGAGCCATTGCAGGTTGGGTATGCTGTCATTCACATCTGTGGTTCCTCAGTTCAGAAAGTAAGAATTCTTATAATAGAAAAGTAATCAATCCATCTGGAAATTAAATTATTTAGGTAGTGAGGATTTGCTATTTAAACCTAATACAATGGCATTTGTGTTGATAGGAAAAAAATTACACTATAAATAATTTAATAGTGCTTCTGGATCTTTTGTAGGATGAATTATATTTTCTCTCTAGTGCCTTTCATTGGAAGTTCCATTATTTTATTTTTAGATACTTCAGTCAGTTCACTCACTCAGTTGTGTCCGACTCTTTGCGACCCCATGAATTGCAACACGCCAGGCCTCCCTGTCCATCACCAACTCTTGGAGTTTACTCAAACTCATGTCCATCAAGTCGGTGATGCCATCCAGCCATCTCATTCTCTGTCGTCCCCTTCTCCTCCTGCCCCCAATCCCTCCCAGCATCAGGGTCTTTTCCAATGAGTCAGCTCTTCGTATGAGGTGGCCAAAGTATTGGAGTTTCAGCTTCAGCATCAGTCCTTCCAATGAACACCCAGGACTGATCTCCTTTAGGATGGACTGGTTGGATCTCCTTGCAGTCCAAGGGACTCTCAAGAGTCTTCTTCAACACCACAATTCAAAAGCATCTATTTTACGGTGCTCAGCTTTCTTCACAGTCCAACTCTCATATCCTTGAAGTGAAGTGAAGTGAAATTGCTCAGTCGTGTCCGACTCTTTGCGACCCCTTGGATTGTAGCCTACCAGGCTCCTCCATCCATGGGATTCTCCAGGCAAGAATACTGGAGTGGGTTGCCATTTCCTTCGGTACCAGTTAATAATGAATTTAGATAGTTTTCAGTAATTACATTTTTATTGAAGTGAAGTTCACATAATATAAAATCAATCATGTTAAAGTTCACAATTGAGAAGCATTTAGTACATTCATAGTGTTGTATCACCTCTGTCAAGTTCTAAATCATAAATTTTTTTTTTTAATTTCACAAACTTCTCAGGAAAAAGGAAATCAATTTTGGCGTAATTATTCGTTTATATTGAGCAGAGTTTTAACTTGGCTGTGTTACAATTTTTTATGTGATTTAGGAATAGTAAAACATTGTAATTATAACAAAAGGCTAGTGCTAGTGAGAAACGTGTGATTCTATTACAAATGGTTTGTGTTTATTCTGCTATGTTTTGCATTCCCTGTCTTCCCAGTAGTTTTGTTTTGGGAATAATTCATCCTAAGAATTTAATTATGCCAGATCGGTGATGCTATGTATCTTTGGATCATTAGCTTGGGCTTAGAGGTGCCTGGAAACAGTCTGGAGTCAAGAAACCTCACTGCTTTAGGGGATAGGGAGTGTCAGTGTCCTCCCCCCGCCACCTGCCACTCTGAGGGTCGTGGGTCTGATAGGGATGGGCCGACCTCACAGTCTGTGGGCACAGAGATCTCGCCGTTTGTTTAAGCCTTTCCCTCATCTCCTCAGTGTTTGGTAGTTTTCAACAGATCATGTTGTATTGTGTTAAATTTCATGTTTGTTTGTTTTTCATTATTGTGAATATTTGTATACATTTTCAGTTGTTCATTGCTAATTTATAGAAATACATTTTTTTCCCTTCATTCTGTGCTATGTCCTGCAAACGTCCTAAGCTCACTTGTTTGTTGCAGTGGCTTCTTGGTGGCTTCCTTGTGATGTGGTCTGTACACAGTCATGCACATATGGTAGAGTCCCCTTTCTTCCCAGTCAGTTGCCTATCCTCCTAGTATTTGGGCTGGGGGTGGACGTAATATATAATGATGACAGACCATCAGATTTCCTTATATTCTAACTCTGGGGGGAAGGTATTGAAATGCGTTGAGCTGGTTTTCAAACAGTCTGTCCTCACTTTGCCTGGAATGGTGTTATCCAAATCCTGTGCACCTCAGACCTCTGTCCATGCCTTCCTGGAGCCCTGGCTTTGCAGAGTAAGCACGTGATCTTCCTGTTTGCGAGTTTCTGAGACAGTGGTACTTTGCACAGTGAGGACTGGCTTGTACAGTCTTTTCTTAGCAGTGCAGCTGCACCGCATCCAGGCCCTTCTTGTGGATAGTCTTTCCTTTGAGCAGTCACCATTTATTCTCTTATCAGGGAAATGTAGGAGTTTTTTTCTTTGTTTATTTTTATTAGGCAAAATGATTAATAAGGTTGAAACTGTACGTAAAAATGCTATTTTTAGGATTTTCTCTGGGTTTATTGTACCTTTAATAATCATCGGGTTGATTCTGTTGGTAGTAGTTAATATGGACTGTTGGTACTACTGCATGGTAACTACTACTGTTGGTAGTAGTTAATATGTTTTTCTGTCTTCAACTTGGACAAATAAGATGAATTTTTTGTGATGTATAAGGACATCATGTTATATTTTATACTTCCTTAAATTAAGTTACATACTTTTAATAAATTGGCAGAAGTCTTAGTTTGAAGGTGCATTCAGTATGTCTGTGTTCTCATTTATTTTAGATAATGTGCAAAATGGCCCCCATGGTTGGCAAGGACATCACAGAACGTTTGATCCTCCCTCGGTTTTGTGAGATGTGCTGTGACTGCAGAATGTTTCATGTTCGAAAGGTATTGTAGTGGTGGTGTTTAAGATACATGGTTCTTCTCGTGGTTACTGTATTGATCTGTGGAATTTAAAAGATTTTTTTTAAAGAACACTATAATATTTTGAAATGTCAATGATGCTTTCATTGTCAGGTCTGTGCCGCCAATTTTGGAGATATTTGCAGCGTCGTCGGCCAGCAAGCTACTGAGGAGATGTTGGTAAGGCCTGCAGACAGGAACCGAGGAGAAGACAGTGCGTCTCAGAGCAGCACCTGAAGTTTGAAATACATACAGTGGCCCCCAGATTGTATTAATATAGTTCCAGAAAGATAGTATGACTTAGTTTAAGTTTCTATAATCTGGGTGTTTGTATTGTGTTGTGTTTAAGGACACTTTGTTTAAAATGCAGATGTGTTAAGAACCATCAATCCCTTTTTAACTCCCATTTCTATAAAATCAGTTCTTATTTATTCATATGAATCTTTCACTTTAGCAACCCTAGAGTATTTTAGTGACCAGTTAGATTTATAGCAGGTGATTTTTAAATGGTTAGTTCATGGAATATAAGGGCTGAATGTACAAGTTAATGTGCTCAAAGAGTTTTGGAAACCACCTGTTATGCAGAGTCATTAAAATTAAGTACAAACTCTTGAGCTGTACTTGTCAGGAGTGTCTTTGCTTTTCCGCAGTCAGTAGTGGAAAGAATTGGGTGTGATTTATTTAAGCTGTTGCTCCTGCTACTGCTAAGTCGCTTCAGTCGTGTCTGACTCTGTGCGACCCCATAGATGGCAGCCCACCAGGCTCTGCCGTCCCTGGGATCCTCCAGGCAAGAACACTGGAGTGGGTTGCCATTTCCTTCTCTGATGCATGAAAGTGAAAGTGAAGTCGCTCAGTCGTGTTTGACTCTTAGCGACCCCATGGACTGCAGCCCACCAGGCTCCTCTGCCCATGGGATTTTCCAGGCAAGAGTACTGGAGTGGGGTGCCATTGCCTTCTCCATTATTTAAAGATACTAATTGCTAATATTAAATGGGTCTTCTAAATTTTGTTAAGCTAATGTTTTAAATGCCAGGAAAGAGAAATGAAGTAAAAGTAACAACTGAAAGCCGCGTGTGTCTGTCTAACGATCGGGGCCCCTCTCGCCCAGCTGCCCAGGTTTTTCCAGCTCTGCTCGGACAATGTGTGGGGCGTCCGCAAGGCCTGCGCGGAGTGCTTCATGGCTGTTTCATGTGCCACGTGTCAAGAGATTCGACGGACTAAACTGTCAGCACTCTTTATTAATTTGATCAGTGATCCTTCACGTTGGGTAGGGCTTTGTTTAATTATCATTTTTGTAAAACAGTGCATTTTACAGAAAATATGACTTTAATTCCATAATTTAAGAAATAATTTATCATTTAAGGTATGTTACTGCTGATACTTCTGGGAGTAGACATTGGGCTACTATATTAACTTTTTTTTTTTTTTAACAGGACAAAATTTCTATTCCATGCAAATATTTTGTAAGGTCTTATATTCATATCCTCACAGTTTGGATATTCAAGCCAAGATTAAAAAACTTAAAAGTGAAAAGGAGAAAATGATTGAGGGAGAGTTGTATCTCCTAGCTGAGGACAGACTCAGGGTCTACTCCTGTCCTTTCTTCCCTCCGTAGGTTCGACAAGCAGCTTTCCAATCTCTGGGACCTTTCATATCTACGTTTGCTAATCCATCTAGCTCGGGCCAGTATTTTAAAGAAGAAAACAAAAGCTCAGAAGATACATCAGTAGAAGACAAAAATAGGTAAGATCTTGAAAAACTTTTCTTTCAAGTTTCACTGCTTGTGAGCAATTTTTTCATTTTCACTACTTCTATTATGTTCTTTTTGGAGAGTTTATTATTTCTCTTGATTATAAAAATTGGTAAATATTTTTTATAGAATCTTATTTAAACACATTTGTTAAACATCTCTTTGGTTAATTGTGTATTGAAGTGAGAAGATGAAGATGCATGTAACACAACTAGCTTGGTGCTAGGCACATAGAAAGCTGTTGTGATAGATTTGATAGTTTTTGAGTAAGTTTATCTAATAATTAATTTACCTAGTAAACCATCTGTTAACACAAAGAATATACAAAGTAATGGTTATACAAATTTAAAGGGCTTGGTTTTTCAAGGAGTAAAACCTAATTTAGGAGTATGTATTACTCTAAAGTCAGTTTCTTACCATTATTTTCCTCTTTAGTCAACTAATTTTCTTTTGGATCTTTGATTCTCTGTCTGCAGAATAATGATTATGTCAGTAATCATAATAATAATTATTTGTCAATTGAGGGGGAAATATTTTAATGATAAGCCCCAAGTTGGTGTACTTATTGGGGCTTCCCTTATAGCTCAGTCGGTAAAGAATCTGCCTGCAATGCAGGAGACCTGGGTTCGATTCCTCAGTCGGGAAGATTCTCTGGAAAAGGAAATGGCAACCCACTCCAGTATTCTCGCCTGGAGAATCCCATAGACAAGGAGTCTGGTAGGCTACAGTCCATGGGATCACAAGAGTCGGACATGACTTAGCAACTAAACCACCTACCACCAGTGTACTTATTAACTGAAATATCAACTTTTAAGAGCATTTAATAAGACAAAAAACTAAGATCATGGCATCTGGTCTCATCACTTCATGGCAAATAAAAGGGAAAAAAGTGGAAACAGTGGCAGATTTTATTTTATTGGGCTCCAAAATCACTGCAAACAGTGACTGCAGCCATGAAATTTAAAGACGCTTGCTCCTTGGAGCAAGTTATGATAAACCTAGACAGCATATTAAAAAGCAGAGACCACCATTTTGCTGAAAGGTCCATATAGTCAGAGCTATGGTTTTTCCAGTAGTCATGTATGGATGTGAGAGTTGAACCCTAAAGAAGGCTGAGCATCAAAGAACTGATGCTTTCAAGTTGTGGTGCTGAAGAAGACTCTTGAGAGTCCCTTGGACAGCAAGATCAAACCAGTCAATATTAAAGGAAATCAACCCTGACTATTCATTGAAACAACTGATGCTGAAGCTGAAACTCCAGTACTTAGGCCACCTGATGCAAACAGCTGACTTGTTAGAAAAGACCCTGATGCTGGGCAAGACTGAAGGCCGGAGGAAAAGGGGACAACACAGGGTGAGATGGTTGAATGGCATCACCAACTCAATGAACATGAGTTTGAACAAACTCTGGGAGTTGGTGAAGGACAGGGAAGAGCCTGGCGTGCTGCAGTCCATGGGGTTGAAAAGAGTCAGACATGACTTAGAGATTGAATGACAACAGTAAGGCAACCAAATTTTAAAGCTTAAAGAGGACACTGCTCATTTTTACTTTAAATTTTTTTTTTGCATTTAATTTTAAATTGAGTTTTAGTTTTTATTATTTACTTTAGTATCCTTGGGGGAAAATAGCCCAGACCTAACTTAGTGCACGGGAAACACACACAGACTCTGACAGGTGTGCCCTTGGGCCGAGTTCCCTGGGCACCCATCCCCCTTGTCACGATGCTAATGGACATTTTCTTCTGTAGGTCTTGGTTCTGTGCTATTTCCTCTCTTGATGTTGTGACTTGGCACTCCTTCCTTTCTTCTCTGCTGCCTTGTTTTACCTTTTTGCCCGTTCTCCTCCTGTCCTGCTGAATAGTCAAACAAACCCAAGGTACTGTTCTCTGTGAAGGATGAAAAATCACCCTAAAGCTGTCTTTCTAGCGAGGAAAGTTGGTCACTTCCTTTGAAAACCATTGCTGCAGGACGTTTTTCAGTGATGATGGGCGGTGGGGGTTCTTTACTCTTCGCTGTTAACATCAGTGACCTTTTGGCTAGTGGCACTAATTGTATAAAGACTGTTGCATAGCTTTTATTTATTTATGAATCTGGAAAGAGTCTAGGAAGTGATAATGTAAAGTTACAGAGAATCGTACAGGACAGGGGTGAGTAGACTTCCCGTAAAAGACCTGCAGTGAATACTTTAAGTCTCAGTCAGAACTACTCACTCTGCCTTTGCAGACAGTCTGTGCTGTGTGGGCTCAACTGTGTTCCAATAAAACTTTATTGACAAAAACATTGGTGTGGCCAAACATGGCTGGTGATGTTGCTGGACTGCCTCTATAAGGTCTTGTTGGAAGAGCTGTTTAAAGACTGTTAGTTCTCTTTTGGCTACAAACCTTAACTCCTCTTCCATTGTAATGAGGTCTTCCATTGTAATGTAGTGTCAGGTCAGTGCTTTTGTAGCACTGGACTTTAACTGTATTTTTACACTTTGTTGACTCGTATTAATGACGTTGGTGGGGGGAGGAGGCAGTTCCTGGCTGCAGAAAGAGTTCTGTTAGATATTGTAGAAGCCATCACGTAGTTCCACGTATTATTCATCTCAGAGCCATTACCTGGGTGGCCCACTCTTAAATACCTGTTGAGCTGCCTTAAATCTAGTTTTGCTTTTTAAGGTTGGTTGATTGGTTGATTTTGCAAAACTTAATTGAGCACCTACTGTGAACCAGTGACTATGGCCAGATACACAGGACTTGGTTCTTGTTCTGAGGGTCCTCTCAGTTTCCTAGAATTCAGATTTCTCAAGCAGATGTATTACAAAGCAAGTTTTTGGCAATATATTTCCACTGCTGTTTATTTCGTTTGTATTGTTTTATCTGATCCTGGAGATGCTTAATATCACTTAGTACTCTTTGGTTTCCCTGGTAGCTCAGACAGTAAAGTGTCTGCCTACATTGTGGGAGACCCAGGTTCTATCCCTGGGTCCGGAAGATCCCCTGGAGAAGGAAATGGCAACTCACTCCAGTGTTCTTGCCTGGAAAATCCCATGGACTGAGGAGCCTGGTAGGCTGCAGTCCATAGAGTCGCAAAGAGTCGGACACGACTGAGCGACTTGACTTTCACTTTCACTGTTTGAAGCATGTATTGATTATAAACCTCTGACTTTATAAAATGCTAGGTTTCTCTCTCACTCACCCTGGATCAGGCTTCTTTGAAGGTGTTGAGAAAGGTGCTTCCAGAGTAGTTAAGTGTTGAGATTTGCACTGTTATCTGAAATGAGCACCCTGTCTTCCATTTAGCTAAATCAGCTATTAATATCACATTGCTGTCTGCACATGCTGCCTTCTTTTGGGTCTCCCTCTTTCTGTCTGGAACACCATCCTGTTCTGCCCACACCTCATTTAACAGAGAGCTGTCTGGACAGGACGACCTCAGTGTCTTGGAGGAAACCCAGAGCGTTTGCATCCTATGTGTCTTGAGCACTGGAGAACAAGCGCCAATGTGGGCCTGTCTCCTCATCCTGCACTTGCACATGACATCCACAGACTACAGGTCCCCCACGCGGTAGCCTGGGTTTATCTTGTGTTATCACACCATCACCGGGCCTGGCATGTGCTCGGCATGTGATAAATCTCAAATGAGTTAATGTAAGAAAGTAATGGATTTTATCCCAAAAGCCTTAAGTAACTGAATCATTTTTGCTAGTCTTTGTCAATTTAGCATAAAGCTAACTTTTTGTAAGTAAAATTGATTGTTATTGGTTTAAATTTGGAAGTATTTCACTGATGTTGAGTCTCCGTTAAGTGAGCACATAGAGTCCGTGTCTGCTGTTGCCCAGCACGCCCATGCACTTCGGGGACCAGCAGTTCCCCAGTCACTTTCCTAGGCCAGGGCCTTAGCTCACCTGGACCCTAAGGATGTTAACTGTCAGCCAGTGTAGATGCCGAGGGGACGTGGGTGCTGGTGAAGACGCGTTCCTGGCTGAACCTCAGGTACCTCCATGGAGCTGGGTGCTCTGCTTGCTGTGCCGACCCCTCTCCTCCCTTCTCCAAGCAACGTTTGCACGTATGGCGGTGTTTGCAAGACTGACTGTTAGGAAGGTCAGAATCCTGACCATCTTCAGCAGCTTGATGGTGCACTGGTCATTACTCAGCTTCAGGAAAAAGCGTATTTAGAGAATTTATATTTTTGACAGTTTGAAGCAACTGGTATTCATACAGAATTTAATACTTTGCAGAATTTCATGTGAGGGAAGGTGTTTTTTCTCTTTTGAAAACCGTAGTAGGAGCTTGAAGTCAGGACAGATTAGTAATTTTTCATAGCAGATAGAGTGACTTGGCCAGTGACTCCTTGCTTTTCCTGCTGAGAATGTTAAAATTTAATGCTGAGATGAGGTAGTGATAAAGGAGCTTCAGGCCCTTGGAATAGTTTTCCAAACGAATTGGCTTTGAATTGGGTTCTATTTGTGAGTTTTAAATGGAAATTTATTAAGTTCTTCAGATAACAGATAACTTCAGATAACTGAAACCTCTTAAGTTTCAGTCATTTGCTCCCCACCCCCACCAAGCAACGTCCTGTTGCTTTGATTTTTAAAATTTAGTTTGCATAATATCAAAAAAGCTGTAAAAATAGCACAGAGAATCCCATAAACCCTTCTTCTGGATTTCTTCAAATGTTAAGATTTTACCATAGTTATTATTATTTTCTGAGTTCTTTGAGATAAGTTTTAGACATGATTTTTTGATGACATGATATCTTTCTTAAATATTTCACTATTTCCTCAAAACACACAGACATGAACACATAACCACAGTCTCATTACCAAAATTGAAAACTTAAAATAGATACAATACTGTCCTCTAGAGATTTCATTCAGATATTACCAATTATCCCAATCATTTCTTAAAACAAAAGAAAAAATATCTTTAATAAAGAAGATGGTTGGAAAAACGTCATGTAATTCATACACACATGGAGGATGTTTATTGCACATGGGAGCAGTGGTTTGGAGGACTGATGGGGACCTCCAGGGTGCTTCGGGTACTGCAGCCAGCCCCTCGCTTGATGAGCAGGGCAAGAACGTGGCGCCTGCAGCGCAAATGCAGGGTGAGAATCGGCTCTCGCACAGTTTACGTGTGCATGTGGCCTAGTTTATGGTTTATATGAACGGAGGAGAAATACCAGAATTTTAAATGCTATCACTGTGTGGTCTGTTTTCAGATGACTTTTTAAAATGTATCTGTATCTAAAACAACTTTGTAAAATAATCATTCTGTGTTTCCAGAAAATCGTTTCTGAAAAGTGTAAACATTCCTATGAGACAAAACCTAATCCGGGAAGTGGGTGACCTCCTGAGACCACGCACGGTGGCCAGGGCATCACGTAGGTGGTAGTCGTCACCTGCCAGAACGCAGGCTGGAGAGCCTCCTGTGTAATGTCTTTTATTCTGTATATTCAAGGGCCTGTGTTTCAGGGGAGCATCTTGAACTTCTCCCCTGCACTCACCTGGCCTGTATCCATCCTCACCTCCCTGTCATGTTTCTTAGAAAGAGGTGTCTCGTCACCTGTCTCATCTGCCCGCCTGTGTTCTCAGCCCCTGTTTGTCCTCCCGAGAAAGACGTGGCTTTGTCAGCTATTCCATCAGCCTCCTGCATCTCCAGTTCTTCATCTCTTCAGACTTTTCTCCCTGCGCCTCACGCACCCTCTTGTACGAGAGGAATGCCGTATCTTGGTTACTCTGCACACCCAGCGTGTGGACACGCAGGCCCAGCCCACACTCATCCTCCGGAGTCCCCTCTGGTCTGGCTCAGGGTCTGACCACTGTCCCGGGGCGTCACCACCTGGAATTGCATGTAGGTCCCAGCTCGGCCCATGCAGACCGCAGCATCTCCTCTCTGAACCCTCACACTCGCGCTTCTGTTTTCTGAAAGTGCTGCCCCTCTGTGTTGCTTCTGCCTTCTCACGTCTGTCTGAGCTCACTTCCCCTCAAGACTCGCAGACGCTGACTGGTTCTTCAGACACGACTCCTGTTGTTCCATCGGAAGCCTTTCCTCCCAGCCCCGCCTCCCGTGATCACGGGCTGGCTTCTGTACTCACTGCTTTGCCAGTGGTCACCTGCTCTGTTGCTGTTTGCCTCTTTATTACAACCTCAGGAGCAGGACCTGAGTCTCATTCACACACAGATCCTCAATACAGTGTCACCTCCTGGCTCCTAGTAGGTGCTCAGTACACATTTGTTAAATGTAGTTGAGTCAAATAAACTTTAGAGGATAAACTTAGCTTAGGTGATGGATGGAGTGACTAGTGAGCTTTAGGTTTAGTGGCTTGTACTATCTCTCTACCAATTAGGTCATGACTCCATTTGGGGGGAACATCTGGGAGTAGAGCTGAAAGTGCAGAAGAAATAGAATTAACTGTACTTACACTTAAGTGGACTTGAATGTATTTTGTAAGGTAGTAAATAAGGATCTTTTCTAATGCTGCATGGAGGGGCTTGTTTCTTTTCAGTGTGGGCAAGGCGGTTTTAATTCTCAGCTTGTCAGTATATCACTGGAACATGGTGACAATACCATAATCCTAAAAAATCAGATAATTTAAAAGATGTATTTAGCTTGAAATGCCCTGTGGGAATTTATTTTCCTACTGTTTCTTTTTAGTTTCTTTGTTCTTGAAATTAGCATGGTATTGTATCATCACAGAGTTCTTAAATATTGTCTCCTCCAACTAATACCTAGTATTTTAATATCTAGACTTAATTGATGTTTGCATCTCTGAACACAGAACAACTGATGGAAAAAAAAGCATCATCAGTGATATACACAAACTACTGAATTTGTGTGGAAAATTTGTAATCTTTAATATTTAAAGTTAAATATTTTTTAAATAAAAATCTTTAATATTTTAACTCTAAATGCTTTAAGTAGTATCTTTTATTGGTTTTCTTCAGGAATTATCTTGATACTTTCACTCTCTTTCCCAAACAAAGCAATGAAAGGACCAGGGGTGAAGACGCTCCAGAGGACGTAGAGAGCAGGCCCACTGTGGGTGATTGCAGCATCCACCTGGAAGACTCGCTGGCAGACGGCGCGGAGAGCCCAAGGCAGCTGCCGGGTGAACTGAGCGCTCCCGCGGAGAGCTCCTCACCTCGCCGGTCGTCCCCGGAACCTCCCCCGTTGTCCCCAGAGCCTCCCCCAGACACGACTGGCAACGAAGAGGAGCAGGAGCCCTGCGCCTGCAGGTTAGCGTCCCGGCCGGAGGTGGGCACCGGTGCACAGGACTCAGCTCCCCTGGACCAGGAGCTGTACAACTCCTTCCACTTCTGGAGGACTCCTCTCCCCGAGATAGACCTGGACGTGGAGCTGGAGCAGGGCTCTGGGAGCGAGCCTGGCCCACAGAGGCTGGACGTGGAGCCCGAAGTGCCCGCCTCCAGCTCTACCAGCATCACCATGGCCACCAGGAAGGAGCTGGAGGAGATGATAGAAAACCTGGAGCCGCACATTGATGACCCTGATGTGAAAGGTATGGGAGGGAGTTGGTTCTTTGTTCTGATGAAATGTTACTTTCTGATTTTCTTTCTGCCAGAAAGATTCCCTTTTAAAAATCGCTATCAACCAATTGTCATCATGCAGTCTTATCTTGAGTATGGTTGGTCTGCCTTTTAGGGAGTAAATTTTAGATGAGTTTGTCACTGTTCTGAGTGTAGCAGGTTCCAGTGTGCTGGTTCACGGATCACTCTGATGTGTTCACATGCACTCACTGGTCTACAGTTTAAACCTTGAGTCCTGCCTCCGCTCGTCTGCCCTGGGTCTCAGTACCTTCCTACAAGCATCAGTGCTTTGTTTTACGGAAGGAGGACTGTGTAGGAAGGACTGACCTGTTAGTGGGGATGAGATGCCCATCTTCCTATGGAGCAGGATGCGGTGCTCATTGGCGAGGGTCCCACTGGCATCTTCATGTCTCAGTTCGGCCCTTGTTCCATTGGGTTACACTTGCGTCACCTGGGTTCTGCCATTGTTAATGGCAGCCTTGCAGGTCGCTTTGTGTGACGTGTAAAAATAACAGGCTGCTCTGACATGATGAAACGGGTGTGGGGAGACGGCTCGGGCCGCCCCACTCCGGAGTGGGTGCCGAGGGTGATGTACGGTCTGAGTGTGGGCACCTGACCCCGGTGACATCAGAGCATCATCAGGGCTCCTGACCACGCTAACTATCAGGGCAGTCTGGAATGTTACTGTAAAACAAAGCAGTTTTGAAAAATCCCCAAACTGCGGGTCTCCAGAGCTTCTGTGGCCTTCTCTTTCCTTGTTTGGGGCAGAAGCAGTTTTGTAAACTGTCAGTTTGCTCAATGTTAGCAGATCCCTTCTTTTAAAGCAGACAGAGCCATACCTTCAGTGTCCTTCTAAACACAAAACATTTAAACTTGGGAAATTTCATCAGTGGAGGTGAAGTCAGCCGTTGCCTTTGTTGGGCTTTAGCGTCTGTTGTCACTTTATGGTCACTGCCTAGAAGAGTACCTGGCACATACAAGGTGCTCGATAAGTGACGCTGGTTGATTCAGTCGATAAATGACTGTGTTATCAAACATCAGCATTGCGGACAGAAAGAATGGCATGACACATTTAAATTGTAGCAGATTTAAGAGCTGAATTAGAGAAATAATTAAATCGTAATATAGCATTGCTACTAAAATCTCAACTGCAGGCTGTAAATTTTAAGTCAAACAGTGTTAGTCCCTGTTTCATGATGGGAAACACACAGTTATATCCTGAAACTCATATGTCCATGTAGCTCTTTGCAAAAAGCAAACTACACAGATTACTTCTAGCTTATTTGTTTAAAAAGCATTAAAAGTAGCATATTCAATATTCCCATTAATGTTTATTAGGTGTTAGAGAACTGACTGACAGCAGGCGTGCGCAGAGCACCCCCGGAGCAGGCTGCCTGTGCGGGGCATGCTCTGTGAAAGGCTTCCCGGGACGGGGTCATCGGGGGTCAGGGACACAGACCCCCCAGCTGTGTCTGCCGGGGGCAGAGCACTTGCCCAGTCCAGAGCATGGACCGGACAGTCGGCCTCCTTTAGTTCTTCGATGATTTCCTTGTGGGAACTCAGAGGCTTTTAAAAGGGGAGCAGAAGTGACTAGAGGATTAGTACAGATAGCCGCTGAGATTCTCGGAAGAGTGGGGATACATTCCGCGAGTAGGCTTTCACGCTCAGACACCTCAGTGTGATGTGATCCGTCAGCTCGTCGTCCTGTACATTTCCTCTGTCTCTGCTGCCACTGCCTCATAGGGAACTTTATAGTGAATTTTATAAACGCTGCAGCGTGGTGATAGGCGATCTTAATAAAATGCTGATTGCTTTTTAATCATGTTTAAGTAGAGCAGGAGCCCACTTTCTCATCTTTATACTAAATAAATTTGCAGTTAACCTTTATAAATTCCTATGTTTTGAGTGTCCAGGTGGATTGTTATTTGAATAATGCTAAACAAAATGGTTTGTTGTTTTTGGTTTTTTTTTTTTGGCTAAATTCCTCATTTGTTTGGGGCAGAGGAGGAAGACTGCTTATCTTCACTTTGAATGACTTTTATACAGATGATGTAACTCAAAGTCGTAGACAGTGCTATTGCCAGACTTCAGCACTGCTGCTTGGCAGTCTGTTGTTTTGCTTTCCTGAGAGCAAGATCGTGCTTGTTTGGGATTCCTGTGTTTGGGGCAAGTCACTGATTTCACTTAAAAAAAAAAAAAAAAAAAGAGGAAAATATAAATAAACCAGAGTAAGATGTGAGATGTTTAAATGTGACTGCCACAGACGTCTTTGTAATTCCCGTGTTTTATGTTGGCAGGGTCTGTGTGACTGCTCTCCTGCTAAGGTGGCTTAGTAAGTAAGCCAGTCCCGCTCATGGTCCCCGAAACATAGTTCACTGACCCTGAAATTGACTAGATAGCACCTCTTCTCATACTAACGCAGAGTAATGCACAGTAGTGGGTAAACACTTTAATCTTATGAAAACGTATTAGTTTTCTACTTCTTCCCTTGGAAAACTAATGATTGACCACAATAGCGGTCTCTTCCAGCTTCTCGAGGGTGGTGTCCCCAGAACACTGCGCCTCGTTGAGCCCGTAACCGCGTCCGCGCAGGGGGAGTCCCACGTGGCGGCCCCACTCACAGCCTGTCCTTTGGCCCACAGCGCAGGTGGACGTCTTGGCTGCTGCCCTGCGTGCCTCCAGCCTGGATGCCGGCGACGAGGCTGGCGAGGCCGCCCGGAGGACCCCCCAGGACGAGCTCCCCAGCTGCCGGCTCGACCATGACGCTGCTGGGCCTTTGATCAGTGAGGAGGTGAGGGTGCCACGGGGCGGGCACATGTTCTTGGGCAGCTGTGGGGCTCATCCCGGCCACCTGGTGCCCCCCCCTTCTGCATAAAGTCAGTGTGTGCCATCTCTGTGACACCAGAGGCTCATGGCTGGTGCTTGGAGTTAACAGTTGCTCTGTCCTGCCCACCGCAGCCCAGGTGTGGGTGTCCCTCACCGCAGGGGGCAGAGCCCTCTGTCGGGGTGACGAACTCCTCCCGTGTCTTTCTGGCGAGGCGCTGGGTCTCTGCCCGGCCTCTCCCTGCAGCGAGCACGGTGTTGAGCAAAGATCGGGACTTGAGGCCAGGAGTGGGTGCAGGCTGTGCTGGCCCCTCCGGCCTGTGTCCTGCACTGGCTTTGCCCGTGCTACAGTGTCATCTGTGACAAGAAAAAAAGGTGTATTTGTGAAACTAGAAATAGCCAGGAATAGAAATAGTAGAAGAAAAACTGCATATGACATACCGTAGAAGAGTTGACTATAGTACCTTCTAAGTACTGTTTTTATTGATCGCTAATTTTAGAGATTTGGGCCTTTTCAAAATTATTTCTAAATTTGCTTTTCAATTACATTTCTTCTGGAATTTATTTTTAAAGCTTAAGCAGCCTATTCTGCAAGTTTGATTTGAGGCAGGGGAACTTTTAGGAGGTCTTAACATCTGTTTATAAATGTTGAAAAGCATGAAGACTTTATATGCACTCCTGTCTTTCGGAAGTTGTGAAAGGTGAGCAGCTTGAACGGTGTGAGAGCAGGGAGCTGCCCGACAGGGCCGGCTGTCTGAGTGACTTTTCTCCCGACAGACCGTGGACTCTGCCCTCCACTACATTCACAATGACTCAGATTCGGGCACCAGCAGTGGTTTCAGCCCTGATGAGGAAAGGAGAGCTAAAGTCCAGGTCAGTGACCCCGACATGTCACTTTCACTCCACTTTTCAACCCATTTCTCCCCAAATTTGGCCCTTCTGATGATGTTTTGGAAAGGAGTGCTTGTGTGTCATATTTTTGATGAGAAGATTCAAGCAGTGGAGGACAAGCAGAGACCTTTTCTTTCTCACACCATGATCCCTGCCCCCCAGGGTGACCACAGCCGCCCTCCTCCATGTTTCCTCAGAGCGTGTCTGTGGGCACGTGCGCACATGTATGCGCACCTTTGTCTTTCAGAGACAGCCAGGCTGTCATGCCTGGTCTTCTTGCCGGGGTTGTGTGGCTTGTCAGGTGGAGCTGGGTTTCAGAGAGGAGAACGTGGACACAGGGCCAGGGCCGCCATGAGGTGCCGTCAGCCACAGGGTGACCTGAGGCAGAGGCTTCAAGTGGGACCACTGGAGTGTGATGGTGCCTTTCTTTTCTTCTCTTTTTAAAACATCGTGTCTTGGAGCTCTTTGCACGGGAACGCAGATCCACCTCCTCCCCCACCCATGGGGCCAGGGCTGTGGTGGGTGTGAGGTGTGCTGTGACATTACAGGTGAAGCCCGTGCATCATGATGGTGCCTGGGCCAAAGGGGGCAAATCCTTGATTTTTGTTTGTTCTGTTGATTAAAAATGGAGTCCATATTCACAGTGTTTTAAGGCATGCTTTTTCCAAGCCAGTACATAAAGACTGTCTCATTGCTTCCTTGAGTTTCCACTTTATTTTTTAAAAATAGAGAATAGATTTACAAAGTACAGAATTGAGCTTCCTTCACAGCTTTCTCTTCCAGCACCCACTTTGTTTTTCACCAAAGGCAGCAGTTGTGCCTTTGTCTTGTAGCTCCTTGCAAAGCTGTACCACCCAAGATCATTCATACAAGTTGTTAGAGGTGTGCACACTTCAAGTTTCTATAAATAATTGCTAAAATTCCCCTCTGGAGGAGGTGGTGGTAGTTTTAAGATCCTGGCTGATGATGGCGCGGGAGCAGACCCATTTCACCTGGGTCTCTGGGTCATTCCAGACTCTGTAATCTCTGCCAGCACTGAACCCACCTGCTCTTGTTTCTGATGTCTTGTAAATTTAGTGAACAGTTCTTATCATCGTCTAAGCTGTTTTCTGTTTTAGGTCTTGTTTGTCGTCTTTCTCTTAGAGGTACTTTTATTCACTGATACATGTATTTCCCTTCGCATGTTTTCTTATCTCTTTCAGTTATTAGAGACGTGGAGACAGGTTTTTTGCTACTGTATGAGATGCTGCATTAAATCCAGATATTTAACATAAGCGTACCTAATCTACAAAGTCTCAACCTGTCTTGTTTAGGACGTGGTGCCCCAGGCCCTGCTTGACCAGTACTTGTCCATGACCGACCCCTCACGGGCACAGACCGTGGACACCGAGATCGCCAAGCACTGTGCCTACAGCCTGCCGGGCGTGGCACTGACGCTCGGCCGCCAGAACTGGCACTGCTTGCGCGAGACCTACGAGACGCTGGCCTCGGACATGCAGGTGTGGGGCCGCCGGGCAAACCTGGGGGCCGAGGCAGGGGGCGGGCGCAGAAGGTCTCCCTGCGGGCCAGGCTCCTCGCTCCACTCACACATCATGCCTTCTTTTGGACCAAACTGCTAGAATCTGCCTCCCATTTGAACTGCCGATGCCCCTAACTCACAGAGGTGCTAGTGCTGTTGTCTGAAATGTATGTGCAGATTCGTTCTTGAGAAAGTGGGGCCTCCTTTCCCCCAGAAACAGTATCAGAAATGCTTCCTCCACACAGCCGGTGACCCTGTCTGAGCAGTTCTCCACCTTTGTTCCCCGGCCTCTTGTGGCTGTGGTGACAGTGACGGGACAGCTCTGAGCAGGGTGGAGAGGGGCTCCTCCGAGCACCCCGTCCTCCTCTGTGGGGCGCACATCAATCACTGTGGGCACAGCATTCTGTCTTAGGAAGAGATCCTGGTGTTTGGGAATGGGGATAAATCCCTTGTCCTAAACAGCTTCTCAGCTAGTAAAGTTTCAAGCTAAATAACAAAGTGGATTTTTAAATTAAGGCCACATGAAGAAGTTTTTGACATAAAGTTTCCTACAAAAGCAGGGCATTCCTGTTGAGTAGTTCTTTTCCAGGGCTGCCTTCAAGATATTTCCCCAATCTTGTATTTCTCTAATGGCCAGTTCTTTAAGAATACGTTTTGGGGTTGTTGTTAATCCAGGGTATAGACTGTGTGGAGTCAGGAGGGGGACACCAGGAAGTCGGGCCCCCAGTGCTCCGAAGGCACGCAGGGAGCTCCACCATGCTCGCGAAGCACTGTCTTCCTTCCTGAGTGAAGGGGGGAATGATGCATACTCTGAGGGACTTGACATTATTCTGCCAGTTTTTTTTTTTTCCATTTATTTTTATTAGTTGGAGGCTAATTACTTTACATCATTACAGTAGTTTTTGTCATACATTGAAATGAATTAGCCATGGATTTACATGTATTCCCCATCCCGGTCCCCCCTCCCACCTCCCTCTCCACCCGATCCCTCTGGGTCTTCCCAGTGCACCAGGCCCGAGCACTTGTCTCATGCACCCAACCTGGGCTGGTGATCTGTTTCACCCTAGATAATATACATGTTTCAATGCTGTTCTCTTGAAACATCCCACCCTCGCCTTCTCCCAGAGTCCACAAGTCTGTTCTATACATCTGAGTCTCTTTTTCTGTTTTGCATATAGGGTTATCGTTACCATCTTTCTAAATTCCATATATATGTGTTAGTAGACTGTAATGGTCTTTATCTTTCTGGCTTACTTCGCTCTGTATAATGGGCTCCAGTTAACTGCCAGTTTTTGATAGCATTTTAAACTGGGTATCTATTATTAGTTTTATTTTTATTTGACTTGAGGTTAATAACATTGTTCAGATATACGTTAGCCTCCATGTACTGTCCAGATGTTAAAGCACCAGGACTTTGTGTTCTGCTCACTAACGCCGTTGTCTTCACTCCTGCAGTGGAAGGTTCGAAGAACGTTAGCTTTCTCCATCCATGAGCTTGCAGTCATCCTGGGAGACCAGCTCACAGCTGCAGACCTGGTCCCAATTTTTAATGGATTTTTAAAAGACCTCGATGAAGTCAGGATAGGCGTCCTGAAGCACTTGCACGACTTTCTGAAGGTAGCTTTTAAGTTCTTTTACGTTAAAATACTACCACTGTCGATTTAAGAGTTTTGACTCCACACTGCCACAGATGATAGGTTCCCATGTGTTCCGTGAGAAATGTAGCCATGAGTTCGATGGCAAAAGGTGACTTAGAAAACAGTCCCACTCTGGTCAGTTTTGCTGCTGTCACTTTAGTGTTTTAATTTAACGATCACGCTGAATTTCATTTGGAAATGATGTTAGATCGTGGTTACAAACGTGAGTACATCTTTTTCTCAAACATTACTGAACTGAACACAGAAAATCCCATAGATGTTCAGCCTTCTGTGGTGTATGGGAACTCTGGGAGGTCCCCTTGTCCTTACCCTGACGTGGACCCTGGTCTTCAATAGGAGCAGCACTGACCATAAACGGTTTAGTCCTAGGCAGCCACTGTAGCTGTAAGTCTGAGGTGCAAGAGAATTGTAATCACAGTTTCTCAAACTGTCCCGAATTGTCCCTCGACTCAGACCCCAGTGGGGAATCGCACGTTGAATTGAAGTGCCTCTTCAGTCCCTAGATCTAGACCAGCCTCGCTGACTCCCACCTTCAGTGGCCTGGGCCTGTTTGAAGAGGCCAGGCCGGTGGTCTTGCCGAATGTCCCCAGTTTGAAATGTCAGCACTGTCACCTAGTCAGATTCCGTTCCACGGGTGGTGCATGCAGGGGCACAGCCTTACTGCATGGGTCCCAGGCCTCCTCTCAGGGGTAACATGGTGTGGGCTTCTGGGGCCCCAGTGGTGCTGAGTCCAGGCTCCTGGTCGTGGTCGGCGCCTCCTCAGTGGGCAGTGCGTTCAGACTCTGAGCATCTCTCCCCGCTGCTGCTGCACTCGTGCGTCTGTACCCAGCTCCCCCCTGAATCACTTGTGACTGTGTGAATTATAAAATACCGATTTTCTATTTTTGTAACTCTGTACTTACTAGTATCTCCTGTAAAAATAACCTTTTTCTTCTCTTCCTCTGCCTTTTTGGAAGTTGTTTTTTTTTTTAAAATTAATAGTATCAGTATGAACTCCAGAATTACCTTTTTATTCTGTGTAATATAATCCGTTTCTGTTGTTTGTTTTAAGCGTAAATTTGGCAACTGAGAGCCATTGAAGCCACCTCCTGTGTCCTTTTGCCCCTCATTTCCAGGCACGTCTCACTTTCAGGCCCGGCTTCTCCCATCTCCGCGGCAGCCCTGGTCCTTTCTGGGGAGCCTGGGCATCTGGAGCTCAGTTCTCAGGGGACAAGAGCTTGGGGAGGTGGTTTGAAAAGGCATTTAGTTTATATGGTGTCTTCACTTCCAATGCAATACCATTTCCTCTGCTTTCTTCACACTTTTTCTTTTCTTGTGGTAAAAGCTCTGTTTTTTAGCATCATTACCATATTTAGTCATTTGCTAATTTAATTGAGCAAGTGAAAAAGTTTCAGAATTGCTCCAATAATAAGGCCAACATGAAACCAGCCACATATAATGGTCAGGACTTCTTCAGCACATTGTCGTTAGAATGTATTCCGTGAAGCTAGAGAGTCAGAATACTGAGTTTAAACTTAGACTGTTTCTTTGTGACTCATGTCTGTTTGATGTACAGCTAAGTTTATTTGCTTCTGTTTATATCAACTCTGGGGGCTTCCTTAGTGGCTCAGATGGTAAAGAATCTGCCTGCAATGCAGGAGACCCAGGTTTGATCCCTGGGTCAGGAAGATCCCCTGGAGGAGGGCATGACAACCCGCTCCAATATTCTTGCCTGGAGAATCCCATGGATAGAGGAGCCTGGTGGGCTACAGTCCATGGGGTCACAAAGAGTCGGACACAACTGAGCGACTAATAGACACATCAACTTTTAGAGGATGCCCCCTCATTGACTTATAAAGCTATTTTCAAATATTTACAGAACAGTTATTGGGATAAATTAGTTTTTTTCACTCAAGTATTTATGAGCACCTACTGTGTGCCATTACAGTGCTGTCCACTGGGCACAGATGGGTGAGCAGGAGCATGATTGCCTCCTCAGGGGTGGCCCTGGGGTGTTCCTGTAACACTTTGCCTGGGGTTGGGGGGTGGGGGGGAGGGCGCAGCAGAGATCAAAGGAGGTCATGCCCTGACCCAGGAAGCAAAGACTGAGGAAAGGAGGACTCCTGAAGGTGGGGGGGTTATCAAGGGAAGTAGACTTAAGCCTACGCTTCAGACAATGTCTGTCCTCCTCCAGAAGGACTGACGTGTGGTTTACAGTCGTTCAGCAGCGGGGGAAGGAAATCATGTCTTTGCCTTATCCTCGTGAACATTCTTATTTTGTTTCTTCAGCTTCTGCACATCGACAAAAGAAGAGAGTATCTGTATCAGCTTCAGGAGTTCTTGGTGACTGACAACAGTAGAAACTGGCGCTTCCGAGCCGAGCTGGCCGAGTGAGTCCTCACGACGGAGCGACCTTCGGGGTGTTTGGGGGGGTGGGGGGTGTTGCTTCCCCTCTGCCTGTCCTGGGTTTATTTCCTCGTCACCGCGTGAATCCTCATTTCTGTCTGGCATCCAGCTCCTTTCACAAGGCTTGTGATGTGGGTCTGGCTGGCAGTGAGTTCTCACAGATTTTTTTTTTTAAGACTACGTCACCTTCGTTTTTTAAAATTGTGGTAAAATACACACAAGCACCTTTACCGCTGGCGCAGTGTCCCCACTGTCCCGTTTAGAGCATCTCCTCATCCGAGAAGGACGCCCCGGCCACCCGCCTGCGGCCTGTTGGCCCACCGTGTCCATGCGTTTGTGAGCGTCTTCTCCTGGGGGGGCCGCGTGAGCCGCAGGCGCATGTGTGGCCCCTTCACACAGCGTGCTGTCACGCTCATCTCGGAGCAACTGTTGGAACGACCTTCCTTGTGACGAGTGTGCACCGCTCTCGTGAACACACCACCTTCCAGTCCATTCCCCTGGGTGGGTTCTGCCTTTTAGCTGGCGTGAGCGGTGCTGCTGTGAACACCCGTGGAGAGGTGGTGGTTTCAGTTTTTTGAGGATGTGCTGGATCATCCAGTGATTGTGTGTTCATGTGATCGAGGAACCGCGTGGCCGTTTCCACAATGGCTGCCGGCTCTTGCATCCCTGCCAGCGATGGGTGTGCCCGGGTTAGGGGGGGCGTTTCCCCACACCGCCCCCTTTTTCAGCCGTAGCCGGTATCACAGCCGGTGTAGAGTAGCACCGTCGGTCCTGGTGTGCGTTTCCTCAGTGATCAGTGATGGTCACCTTCTCACATGCTGTTGGCCACTCGTACCTGTTCTCTGGAGAGATGTTTGTTCAAGTCCATTGCCTGTTTTTCAGTTGGGCAGTTGAATTGTCAGAGGCCTTTATTAAATATTCTGGATTCTGGGCATCACCTGCATTTTCAGAAGACACCTTTGCCTGGGTGTGAGGTTGGGGTATTTATTTCCGCACGTCCCAGGGCCACTGCCCCGGGCGCTGTCCTGCCCGGCCTCCTCCTCTGGCGCTGGTGTGGACGCAGGGCGTCTGTCCAGGCTGCGGGCGCCACGTCAGCAGTGTCGCCGTGTAACCTTCGTGCCCAGGGTACTCCGACACAGCCTGGGCTGCCGTCGCCTTTTGCTGCGGGTGGGGGCTGGGGGCCTCCTCTACCCGGAGCCCTCCCAGCCCTGGGCTGGGGTTGCTGCCTGCGTGGTGGAGGCTGCCCAGTGCGGCGCAAAGGGAGGCCCTCTGCCCCCTGGGGAGACCTGTGTGTTGGGCCCCCCGGAGCCCCCAGCCTCCCTGGGGCCGTGTCTCTGCCTGGATCTGTGCTCTGTCCGGGCAGTGCTCCCCACCCCTCTCCAGCAGGACAAGACTCTTGCTTGGCATCAGCAAGGTGTCTCGGCTCAGGAAGCTCCGCCTGGCCTTCTGGGCCAGCTTCCAGGCAGGGGCGCTGACAGGCTTTGCTGCCTTTCCATGGAGTGGGCGCTCGAGGCTTCTGCTCCTGAGGGCACAGCCTCCTCTACTTTGCCAGGCTGGACAGGGTCTGCAGGGCCGCTCTCCCAGGGTCTGCGTGCCTTTGGATGGGGCAGCTTGTTAGTTTATTGTTCACCTGATTCTGCACATGACCCGCCGTGTGTTCCACTCAGACTCCACCAGGAAGGTGCGTGCTGCCGGCGAGCAGCCGTCTCCAGCTGTCATGCTGGCTGAGGGGTTGTGACTGCATTTTTGTCTCTCTCATCACTCTGCAGACAGCTCATCTTGCTCCTAGAGCTGTACAGCCCCCGGGACGTGTACGACTACCTTCGCCCCATCGCCCTGAACCTCTGTGCAGACAAGGTGTCCTCCGTGCGCTGGATCTCCTACAAGCTGGTAGGTGGTCACGTCCTTAGGGCCCTGGAGCAGCGGCATCGGTGAGGTCGGGCAGCGGTGTGGCTCACCTGCGTGTCCCCCCGCAGGTCAGCGAGATGGTGCGCAAGCTGCATCAGGCAGCGCCGCCCACCTTCGGGGCAGACCTCATCCAGGAGCTGGTGGAGAGCTTCGGCCGCTGCCCGCGGTGGTCCGGGCGGCAGGCCTTCGTCTTTGTCTGCCAGGTGAGGGCCCCCTTCACTGCTGCCCTGTCCCTGAGGGCAGGGCTTTGCTATCTGGGCACCCCCCGCCCCCGGCCCCCAAGCCCCCAGTAGCGGCCGTTGGTGCCTGGAGTCCCGGCTCTCTGAAGGTGAACGTGCCGCCAGGCCTCCGCGGCCGGGTCTCCGCTCCGCATCTCCCAGGGCCTTACTGCATCACGGCAAGTTCCTGAGTGCCCGGGATATTGGTGTAAAGGTAGTCGCGGGACTCTGAGGCACTTTAGAGGTTTCTGAAGGGCTTCTCCAGCTGGCATTCCGGCCTGGTCGATGGAGCCCGCAGTTGACGCAGGTCTCTGTCCCCAGACCGTCATCGAGGATGACTGCCTGCCCATGGACCAGTTCGCCGTGCACCTGATGCCCCACCTGCTCACCTTGGCGAACGACAGGGTTCCCAACGTGCGCGTGCTGCTTGCGAAGACACTGAGACAGACCCTGCTGGAGAAAGGTAGGCCGGCAGCCTGAGCGGGAGGCCTGGGGTTGTGGGAAAGTGACACAGCGTCAGGGGCGAGGAGAGGGACACTGAATTTTCACCCTCCTGTTCCACATGACCCTGTCTTCATACTTTGAACTCAGTAGTGTGGCCAGTTGGGTATCCAGCGAGGACCATGCCTTTGGCACCCACCTGCTGTCCATCTTGCCGTCGGGGCGGGAAGCGTGTGTGTGAGGCAGGGGATGTGCGCTTCCTTAGTGTACGCTTTGCTGCAGATGATAAGCTCCTCCCTCAAGACTCAGGCCATTGGGTTTATTGTAACTGCACCCCCCCACCCCAAACACCTGATAAATGTCCCTTGAACCTGTGAATTCATGAGCGAGGACAGGTAGAGGTTTGTGTAGACAAACGTTGTAATAAAACGCAGGGGCCTGTACATTGCTCCCCATTCCTCCTTTGGAATTCATCACTGTGAACGGTCGCACAAGACTCTGGTTCTCTTTGTGTGGATGGTTTGTATTTGGAAAAGTTTTTCCTCTATCTAAGGCAAGTAGTGGCTGTAACAAGCACCAGTTTTAATATGTTTGTTAGCATTGCTGCCATTAGATAGCACAAGATTTAGTCTGTTAGGAAAACAAGGTAAATTTTTTATTCTCTTATATTCGGGTTTTTTCCGTAGAACATGAGTCAGTCTGGATCACTGTCATCCAGCAAAGCTAGCTCCAATTGTCTGCACTTCCTATTTCCAGAGTACTTCCTGACCTCCGCGAGCTGCCACCAGGAGGCCGTAGAGCAGACCATCATGGCTTTGCAGATGGACCGCGACAGTGACGTCAAGTACTTCGCCAGCACCCACCCAGCCAGCACCAGGATCTCTGAAGACGCCCTGAGCACAGCCTCCTCCACCTACTAGTTGGCGTGGTCCCGGGGGCCTCCCACTCCCAGGGAGCCGAGGTCCTGCTGGCACCCACGTGACCGGGGACAGCCTCGGGGCCCGTCCTCCCGCGACACTCGGCTGCAGGTGCAAGTTGCCTACACCGATTCCAGGGATTCTCAGAGTCAAGAGAAAGTACAGTCAACGCGGTTGTCTCGTCTTGACTTGAAGGGAAAACACTTTTCTCAGAGGATTATAATCGTCACCGAAGCCTTAAATCCTTCCGTCTTCCTGACTGAATGAAACTTGAATCGCCCAGCGTTCTCCTTGGAAGGGATGCGACGCCGAGGCCCCTTTGCTTCCCGCTGGTTGATCTCACCACCACAAGACCGCGAGACGGAAGCGCAGCCAGAAGGCGGAGACCGCCAGCCGGGCTGGGCCGAGACTGCCAGCACCAGGCCTCGCCATGTCCACGAGGGCAGGGCCCTGCGGAGGCTGTGGCCGCCGCTCTGTCCAGCCCGAAGTGTGACTAGCCGTGCATAAACAGGGAGGAGATATTTTTTGGATTTCTCCTGAGAGCTCAATGCTAACACTACGTGGAGCTGATTGTGACTCTTAAATGCAGCATATTGCTGTGCACACTCACAGAGTCTGCCGAGCGTCTGTGTCCTGGTTTCTTCATGCTGGTCATGACCCGGAGGAAATTTATTAGCACGTATTCTGTATGTCAGGTGTTTTTAACTTGATCATGATCGGCTCTGAGGTGCAACTTGTCTCACATACTGTATACCCCCGTGCCCCCGGGGAGGGCCGCAGTCTGTAATCATGCTCTTGGACTGTTGTACACAAGTTCTCTTGTCCAAATAAAATTTATTACTAAGATCTATACAGAGATGGACACACTTCTGACTGCTTTCTAGAATAAATGCAATTTGTGACCTGTATTAATGATTTTAGTATAAAATGGGAAAACTGGATTAAAATATTTGTCTTTTAACAAGTTTGGTAACTTCTTTGAAACTTGTGCACATCCTAGGCCGGCAATGGGCCTCCTGGGCATCCCCCCACCAACTGAGGGCAAGTGTGCACCCCGATTCCCACCCCCCTGCTGCCCCGGGGTCTTCACTCCCAGGAAAGGCCTCTGAGCCTGGGTCTGTGCGTGCGAGGGGAGGGTGAAGCCTGCCTGCCCCGCGTCTGGCAAGTGAGACGCCATGTGGACAAGCTTCATGAAGGCTGTGAGAGATGCTCGCTCGAGTGGCCGTGGCGCTCCCGTGGTTTCAGTTCTGTCTTCTCAGCTGGTGGGGACTCCCCCAGACGTGTCGTGAGCCCACTGTGACCTCAGACCTTGGGGATCCACAGGCTGCTTCCTGCGCTTATCATTACAGATGAGCCTCTGGTTCCTCCTCCTTCGTTATAACCGGATGTTTGTGCTCTGGGAACGCGTGTGGACAGATTCATGGAGACGAACAAAAAAGTAAACACACAGGTAACGTGTGACGGAGGTAATAAGGGCAGAGCCGAAGAGTGAAAAGTGATGGGGATGGTGGGTGGACGTTAGGGGAACGCGTCTGAGTCAGTGTCAGAGCAGAGACGGAAGATGCGGCCTCTTGATGTCAGCCTAGTTTCTGAGATGCATGTTCTTTACTATTAGGCTATAAAGATAGTTTGTCCCTCCCCCCAAATTTCAATTCAGTAAATTAATTAGAATTCTACACTAGATCAAACCAGTCAGTCCTAAAGGAAATCAACCCTGAATATTCATTGGAAGGACTGATGCTGAAACTGAAGCTCCAGTACTTTGGCCACCTGATGCGAAGAACTGGATTAGAAAAGACCCTGATGCTGGGAAAGATTGAAGGCGGGAGAAGGGGATAACAGAGGATGAGATGGTTGGATGGCATCACCGACTCAATGGACATGAGTTTGAGCAAGCTCTGGGAGATGGTGAAGGACAGGGAAGCCTGATGTGCTGCAGTCCATGTGATGGCAAAGAATCAGACATGACTGAGCTACTGAACAACAACTATATTAGTAGCTGCATTCTTTTTTAAGCAGTGGCAAGAATAACAGTCTGTTTTGGGGTAAAGAACCTGGATTTAGGGTCAGCTAGACCATCAGCCAGCTTCTGCCTTGGCACTGAGCCACATCCTCACCGTGGGGTCCTGAGCTGGATTCCAGGTGCCTGCACACGGCAGGCAGGGAAGGGACACCAGCATTGAGTGATGGTCGAGGCCTCCCCGGCGTGGACCAGCTCGGACAGCACTCAAGACGAGGTTGGCCCGCCAGCTCCTGATCGCGGCTCTCTAGTGATAGTGCGGCCCCTCAGCCCCCTTAGGGGTGAATGGAGCGGCAGGTGGGCCCTCTGAGGGTGTGGACACCGGCCCCCAGGGGCAGGGAAACCCAGTGGACTCAGACATGCCTCCACACTTCTTCCAGGTCCCCCAGAGGCTAAAAGGGACCACAATCCGGTAAGTACCCGAACTGTTAATTCCACAACAGAGAAACGAATGGGATCTGTGCTGGTGGCATTTAGTGTCAGGCAGCTCCTCGCGGGAGTAATCCCATGATGCTGTGGGGCTCTGAGTGACCTGAGTGAACAGGAAACTGTTTTTCCAAATTGGAGCCTGCTGCTTGGCCGACTGTCGCCCCTCCTGTAGCCCCTTGGTCACCTGCCTCCCTCTGGCCGGGCCTGCTCCCAGGTCCCCGTGTCCCCAGCGGGGAGTCTCCCTTGAGCCTCTCCCGAGTGCCTGAGTGTCCTTCCCTAACGAAATCCACCACCCAAGGCCACCAGCCGTCCGGCCCTGTGACTCCTAGAGGCCTGGGGGTCAACCTTTGTGCCTGTGAGCTTCCACGTGAAGCCCCCGAGACCCTTGTGATTCCAGACCCCTGCAGCCTTTCTGGAACCCTGAATTGGCAAGGGCTGAGTCACAGAGCCAGCTTGGTAACGCAGCCCACAGGGTCCTTCCTACCCCTGTGTGGCGCCAGGACCCTGGGGTTGGGGGGCGGTGTGTCGGGAATACGGGAGCAGCCGATGCTAAACTACCTCAACAGGAAGAGCGCTGTGTCCCAGGCACCAGCTGCCAGCACTGCCGTTTCTGAGGTCCAGGAGATGGAAGCAGTGGGCGGCGGGAGGAAAAGGCCCAGCCTTTGGGACAGTGGGTGTCCTCCAGCCCAGAGCAGAAGGTGAGCCTGGGAGCAGACGTGGGGCAGCAGGCCTCTGAGGCTCCCTACCTTCACCTTTGTGAACGTGTCGAGCCCCGTGGATCTATGACCTGCCGGGGTTGGAGCTGGCATGGGGTAGGTGACCATGGGGAGGGAGGCCCAGCTCTCACCCTCCACCAGCAACTCCAAACTGCGGGTTTTGTGGCCGCTTGAAAGTGAGGGTTTTGACCCAGTGGAGATTTGACCTTGAGGACATTTTGACTATTTATAAACAGAGTTCCTACTGTGACCCATTTTTGTTGAAGGCCTCTTCTGCTGTGAACCCTACTAAGTTGTTAAATTCTGCACTGTTTACATAGGTTACTAACCGACTAGTTTTAGTCTGATCTTATAAAAAAGTTATTTTCCTTTAAAATTTTTTTCCTAGAAAACTAAAATGATCAGTTTTTAGTCCCTGGGACATTTTACAGCACTATTATAGCCTGATTTCTGCTGAATCTTTTTGAGGGCACATTTTGCTGGTTTAAATTTGGCAAAATTGGAGTTTTAGGCTAACCACATGACTCTCTCACCCTCATCAGCTGTGTTTCATGTTCAGGAGTCAGCAGTGGTGGTTGATTGGCTGCAGACGTCTCCTGGGGGGGCGTGGTGTCTTCAGATGCTCCACGGCAGAGGCCATCAGCCGCTCCTGCACTGGGCGACGGCTCATCCCAAGGTGTCCCAGCGAGAGTGGGTGGGCAAAGCGCAGTGTGGGGACTGGTCCCCAGGCAGACGCCCAGGGGAGGATGGCTTCACAGCAGGCGGTGCCAGGCCCGGAGGACGTTCCCTGTGGCTCAGACAGAACAGGAAAAGGTGTGTGTGCGCGCGCGCGCTCATGATGAGGCTGCCACCTGACATGTCTTGGATGGTCCTTCATTTTGGAAATTTTTCTGGACTCTTAGTGTGTTTTGGCTTTCAAGTATCTTGAGTAGGTGATTTAGGAGAGTGCTGCTCAAACATCGCTGTGCGTTCAGTCACCTTGGAGCCCATGAAAATGAAGCCAGTGACCCAGCAGGTCTGGGTGGGGCCTGAAAGCCAGCGCTCCTACCAGAGCAGGGGGACCCCGTGGCTGTGGGATCTTGCCTTACCCAGATTAACACTCTTTCCATAGCTTTCTTTTCAACCCCCAACAGCACAGAATCAGACGACTGTTCCGCACTCAGCATTTGCATTTGGTTTCCTCAGCTGCAAGTCGGTGCTTGGCGATGCTCTGGGTGTCATACCCATAGGTGACAGGGAGTCACAGCCACAGCAGCTGCGATGGCAGCGCAGAGCTGAGCTGCGGGGCCTGAGCCCAGAGCCGGGGTTCCCAGGGCCGCCCTCCTGCAGCACGGGAGGCAGCAGGCCCGGCGGGCACAGGCTGCGCGCGGCTATGATAGCGGCTTCTCCGGTGCCTCAGTACAGCCCCCAGGCGGCAGCGGCAGCCCTGGAGCGCCCGCTCAGTGGGTATCCCCATGCTTTTACGCGCAAGGCCAAGAGCCAAACCCGGGCAGTTGTAATCCGTTCCGCTCCCCCAGGTCCACCTGCTCGAGCCGTCAGCAGGCTGTGCGTGTTCTCCTGCACTCACTACACTGGGTCCCCCCACCTCCCCCAACCTATCTCCCCCAAGTATCGCCAGCTCTGACCTGCACACTGCTAGGGACCTCTTTAGCCTTTTGTATCAGGGTCATCAGCCCAGTCGCTTCTTGAGATGCTAAGGCAGCACTGAGCTGGGCTAAGTCGCTTTAGTCTTGTCCTACTCTGCGACCATAGCCTGACAGGCTCCCCTGTGCATGGAATTCTCTAGGCAAGAATACTGGGGTGGGTTGCCATTCCCTTCTCCAGGGCATCTTCCCAACCCAGGGATCGAACCTGTCTCTTAATGTCTCCTGCATTGGCAGGCAGGTTCTTCATCAGTGCCACCTGGGCCCTTAAGGCAGGGCATGCCAGACTGAAAATAAACATACAAAAGAGGAGAGGAAAGCCAGTAAAGACAGCTTTTGAGATCACTGCTTTAGGCAAAAAGGCTCAGGAGGGAAAAAAAAAAAAAAAAAACCAGGACACCCAATGAAGTGTGGCACAATCTTACATTCAAACACTAGTCATGGCTGACCTGAAATTCCACTGCAACAGGGCGCCTGTGTACACGGCTGCCTCTTGGTAAGGCCAACCGATGTCAACAGACAGCTGGGAGCCACGCCTCTGCTCAGGGCCTCTGTCGCCAGAGGGGTGCCCCGCCACCAGCCAAGCTGTTTCATCCAGAGGACGCACAGGCCCTTCCGCACTGCCGCCCCTCGTCTGAAGCCCACAGCGTCGAGTTAACCTCACAGCAGTAAAGAATACACTTTTTTATCCCCACGTGAGAAGCGCTGGAGTTTGGGGTGGGCCTTCCTTAAGAAGGCTGCCAACACCTCACCCCCACCCTTCGACCCCCAGAGCACAGCCCTTGCTTTCTCCAGTTGCAGCCGGGATGTGCAGTGGTGCCTGCAGCTGTGAGGCCTGGGACACAGATGAGCACCACGCTTGTCCCTGTCCCCCACGCCCAGCTCTTCCGATCCCGTCGGAGGTTGGGGCCCAGGTTGCCAGCCAGCGCCACCTCGTGCCCTCTCGCTCTCAGGGGACGCACGGTGGTGGCAGCTACACCCAGAGGCTCTGAGCCTCGGTCTCTACTCGGGCCCCAGATGGAGAGAGGTTTATGCACAGCCCTGGCCTGAATTAACCACAGCTCCAGCTCTCCCAGAAATGAATCTTAAGCCAGTCAATCAGGAAGCACCTGACGATCCCCGACATCTCCTAAAGGCAAGTACAGGCACACCT